TGGCTATTACAGAAATGTATCCATCCAGCCAGGAATACATACATACATACTTTGACCTACCATGTGAAGTGCTATGAGATGACGTTATGAATTGGTGCTATATAAATAACAGTGAACAAAGTGAATTGAAATATTGAAATGTTGCTGTATCTCAATCATAAATCAATATTTGTGCTTTGTCAATGAATTCAAATATTTTATATAATCCACAAACCAAAGAAAAGTTAGAGAATAAAACACACATTAATCTGAACAACAATGGTGAGCTGATGCCATGTATTTGGAGGAAAAATAATTCATGATAAGAAACACATAAAGCGCAGGCTTCAGAACATGGAGGAGACACTAAACCAGTTACAGAGACACCGCGCTGACAGTTTAAATAAATAGGCTAAATCAAACATGACAATAAGGGATGAACTAGATTAAACAGATATCATACACTAGAAAGTCCTGGGTTTTAATCTGGGCCTGGGATCTTTCTGTGTGGAGTTTGCATGTTCTCCCTGTGCAGCGTGGGTTCTCTCTGGGTTCTCCAGCTTCCTCCCACAAGGTCCAAAGACATGTTGAGGTTAATGGGTGATTCTAAATTGTCCGTTGGTGAGAATGTGAGTGTGCTTGGTTGTCTGTCTCTAAGTGTAGCCCTGTGATAGACTGGTGACCTGTCCAGGGTGTCCCTTGCCTTCACCCTAAGTCAGCTGGGATAGGCTGCAGCCCCCCTGTGACCCTACAGAGGATAAAGCGGTGTATAGATAATGGATGGATTTATCTCAGGAGAAACAATATGAGGCTATTATGCCTCACTGCTACCTTTCTTCTGATCTATAGATCCCTTAAGCCAATGGCTTCAACAACATACTGATGCCATGAGGTTAATATAACATCGTAACAAAAATTGACTTTATTTGAGAATGGCATAGTGATATAACAAGCACAAACTACACACTCACTCCCAACACTGATGAGTGTACAAGAACATTATGGGACAGTCTCAGGTTTTGAAAATCTGAAGTAACCATAACCCATCCATTTCAGAAGTAAACATACATGTGAATGTTGCAGATACAGTTGGGTGCCTGGTTGTCAGCTTGTCTAAAGTTCTCTAAACTATTTAATGCAAAAATAAAAAATAAGAGGTATGGATAAAATTTGTATTTTGAGTTCTAGCGTACAATTTATGTATATGAATATTCTTCTATAGATGCTGTATCTTTTTCAGACTGTCTCAGTGGAGATACCAAGATACCAAGCAAACAGTTGGTGGAACTGGATGGGTTAATATCCAACTACATATGGCAACAGAAAAAACAGATTCGGGTATAAAAGTTTACAATGAAGAAAATATTGTGGTGTCATGGGATTCCCCTGTTTACAAGAATACTACTGTATCGCACAGTAAAGGCCATTAATTTGCTTCCCTGATCCAGCATACTCCACAATGTGGAAAGAAATTGAAAGAGAAATGATAGAGGCGGTATGAATACCAGCAATGTTAGGCAAATACAGGATTTCAAAATAAGATGGATCAGTTTATTATGGGAACCTGGCAAGAGACAGTATAATTTTATGTATTCATCTACATTGTCACAGTGGTATAATGTATTCCAAATAAATTTGGTGATAGATTTGAAAATGAATCACAAAAAGGCTTTATACTGATTGTTACACATGTGTCCACAAGGAGGCATTCCAGAGCTTTAAATCGTTACAAACAAAGATCTGAAAAGACGGGATTTCTATTGATACTTTCAAATTAGATATTAAATAAATTAGAACCTGGGTGTAGATTTTGAAACAGGAGAGACAGGAATCATAAAAATATTCTTGTCAATATCCAAACATACAACATGTATTAAGATTATGTCCAATATGTATAATGCACTCTCCAATTCAGTTCTGATGGAGTGAATGAGAGAAAGGGCGATTTCCCCACAAAATGTGTCATGCAGTTCAACTAGTTCAACAACATAGCAGAAATTCTGTTTGAAAAATGTTTACCAGCTCACTCTATGTTGTTGTTTTGTTTACATTTTCACTTTGTGCAACAGGAAATGTGAAAGCATTTTTGTTTTGCACTGTCAAATTCATATTGCGTGATTTGCACTGTTTTCACTGCACATTTGTTTTCTATATACAAATCCGATTTGAAACCAAAGTCTTAATATGTGCCTTATGCACATTCTTCTGTTCTCTTTTGTGTTTACTTATATTTTTAGCTTATTATTTGGTCAGATTGTATATTTTTTAGCCTATTATATGTTTAGATCGTATATTTTTTAGCCTATTTTACGTTTACATTGTATATTTTGCAACTTATTATATGTTTATCTTAAAAAAAATTTATTTTGTATATTTTTCAACTTTGTCTTTTCTTAAATGAGGGTTCCACAGAAACGCAATTTCAGTTCTCTGTGTGTGTTCATGTGTAGCAGAACTGACAATAAAGTAACTTTGACTTTTAAGTATGCACAATGCTCTGTAGATCAACTTGGAGTAATACTGATGCTGTATTTAGTGACGAACATGAAATGAAGGTTATTCATAAGATTACAAACCTTCATACACTCTAAAAAAAAAAGACTTTTATAGTTAAACTAATTCCGTTATTTTAGTACAACCAACATGATTTGCTTTTTAACCTCAAGCTGAACCAACTTAATTTTACTGAAAAGGTTTTGATGATATTAAATGATCAAATTGTCAAATTTAAGCTAGTCTACCTTAACATTGGACTTCCATTCTACTCAGAAATGTCCATGCAAATTGTCACCTCAATTTTATTTTGCTGGAGTAACTTATTTCACTTCAGTCAGAATAACCTACACAAAGCAATTCAAGTTTCCATGACATTTTATTGTAAACAACAAACAGAAAACCATCAAAAGTACAGCTGCTGTAAGTTTAAAATTGTGTAAACTTAGAAAACTGTCAGCATTGCAGCTGCTCTAGTTAAACTTGTATGAACACATCAGTGCAACATCTGCAGCATCTCTATCTCCAGCATGTCCTGTTTGCATTTTTAATACAGCAATTTCTTTTTTAGAGGCAATAACTGGACTGGCTTTCAGACCATCCAGCTCCAGGAAAAGCTTTTGAAATACCTCAAAAGTGTCCCCATTTGCATGGCACAGGCTCTAGGTAAGTCCAGATCTTCCAGGACTTCCATTCGCTCAATCACGATCCTTGCGCTGGCTGGATCAGACGTTGTGGCACCTCTGGTTACGACGATCTTCATCACTTCATTGGAAACATCCTCATCATCCTGGCATACGTAGGTCAGAATCAATGTCAGTGCTTTAAGTTATCATATTTTAAAAAAAACAACAAAACAAAACCAGAGCAACACTGGGTACATTGTGTCTAAAATTCAGTGTGTGATTTACCTCCTCTTTGAAGAGATCCTCCTCCCTTTCTCTGAGATGTGGCATCAAGCCACGAATTGCAACCTCTCTCCTACTTTCCACGGACTCATCCTGTTAATAAGGAAAAAAATGTTAAATTGCTCCTCCATGATGATGTTGTTTTCCTATTTATTGATCTAATTAATCTTTCCAAATGTTTGCATACATTTTACAAATGACCCACAATGCAGCTGGTGTGTCAGCTTCAATTCAGGATGAAGCAAAAACACTTAGTCTCTTGCCTTTACAGTGTTACAACTAATGCTACATAAGTGTGGTCCCAGTCAGCATCATTCGACTGCCACAGCTGCATTCAAAGGCCTACTTTGAAGAAACAAGCTTGCTTCAACCAACTTTTGCTTAATTAGCTTGGCTAGAAGTGTAGGTTTAGTGTTGCATAAAAACACATTCTTGCTGATACTGTTGGTAGCTACTGAGAATAAAGCAAAAAAAAAGTTACTTACCCCTTAATTTGAGTGATATTACATGCACTCCCATCTCTCACATTCCTTTTTGTCGCAGGTTCGATGTGGCAGCAAGACAAATGCTTTGATATGCCCGGACAAATCCGAACAAATCTGGTTTCGAAGGTACACAATGCAAGTTGCGCTAACTTAATTATTTTCTTTAGCTGAGTGAACGGATTTAAAAAAACAGAAGAAGACAATCTGCAGATATCTAAGTCTAGAAAGTTGTCCTTATTTTTACCAACTTCTTAAAATCGATTCAACTTAATTAAAACATGTACATGTAACAAACTTAATTGTTTATGCTCAAAAAACACATGATTTTAAGCTTTACTTACTAACCCCATGAATCATTTTTTAGAGTGATACGGATTGGAGTGGATTGGTGTGGACATGTAAATACAATTGTATGGAACAATTGTTGAAGTAAATCAAACTTGTAGTACGAATATTGTTATTCTAATTAGTTGTCTGGCATAACTGCCCCATAAAGTCTGTCTGTGAAGTTTGTCTAAAAGACATTTGATTTAATTTGATGTCTTAAACTGACTAAACTTGCTCAGTTAACTCACACTTTTAAGAGAGCAGGGGAACTTGTGTTGAGCAAACTCTAAACAGCTGACAGTGTAGTGCATTAATAATAACATCAATGCCCCCATTGCATTAAATAATAATAATAATAATAATAATAATAATAAGAATTTTCTTTCTTTTTTGGGGGGTGAACTACCATCATTATAGAAGGCACAATTACCAGTGGTGTGATGGTTTGTTTGTTATATTTAAACCAATTACACATACATTTTCCGTATTTATTATTTCTGTAAGTAGCTGAAAAGTCGAAGATCTCTGACTTGTGTCATGTACACACTTCAGTTTGGAGGCAGGTAGCGCTGAGAGCACAGGACAGGCTCAGTAAAGCCCACACTGACAACAACACCGGCACGTTTACGCCAAACACTTTGAACACGTGATGCACAAACTGTGACATGAGTGCTCGAGCCGAGCTGTGAAAATGTCGCGGCCTCGTGTCGGATGACGTCACACCACGTCCGCCTGCCCTCCCTCCCTCCGTGCGCGAGCTCGATAGTCCAAAGTATAAAGTAGCGCGAGCGCCTTAACTGGGAAAAAAAGTATAGCCGATACCGAAGGACACACACCGGAGCGCACACACACATATGCAGCCGCTTATCTCGCTGTTCCTGCGGACTACAGGCCCTATGTGTACCTTCACCCACACAGAGCGGACCTCTTCACAACTTCATTAAGGAGTAAATACCCGAAAATGTAGTGGGAATTATGGATTTACAGCGTAGAGGACTTGAAATGGGCGGTCTGCTGCTGCTGCTGCTGCTGCTGTCGGTGGTTGACGGTACGTTGACTTTTTGTTCACAACATGGATCCTTAGGGAACAAGGGCTGTGGAGCCACCGGGGCGATAAACAGGAGCAAAAAAAAATCACAGTAACACAGTAGTTAACATGCTGTGATTCAGCTGTGTATTTGTGCGCTTTATTTTGCTCCAGTGCTGAGATGAACTAACACTAGGTGGGATTCCTTGTCGGAAAGTTCAGGTTTTTTATGTCCCTAGGGTACAACAACACAGTAGTTGCAACTGAAGTCTCTTAACTTTGCATTTGTGTTTCGGACACACCGAGCAGCCCCGTGTCCGCCGCCGTCCTCCTCCACGCTTCGTTCAGCCGCTGTAGTTCACAGTTGATGCGTCGGAGCACAAGTTTTTGGAGTCAGCCTGGCTATTTTGTCGGGCCTCGGCTGCTCCAGCCATTCCTGCTCGGTGTCGGGTGTCAGACAGTCTTTATGATTTAATAGAGGAAAGAAAAACATGTTTATTTCGGAAAGAACACTACGCTGGACAGGGGAAAACATTTCCTTCGGGATCATTATCTTGAAAAGCCTTCATTTTCCACTGCCCGATCTGCGGTCTTAGCATTTAATCGCACGAAACTGCCTAGCAAGAGGTGGAGCTTAGTCCTCATATTGATGCAAGGCATTCTATCGCTCTTACCTCTAGCCAGTGGATGTCTGCGTGCATCTTACAACAAAAGCAGAGAGTACGAGAGTATTTTATCTTCTAATTCCTGAGGTGTAACTTGCCTCGGCAGCCGCTACAACTTCCCATCAGCTCACTCAGTGGTCCATGAACAGATACAGGTATTAACCTCAAATCCAGATCTGGTGATGGAGTCCATCATAGTCATAGAAGGCCATATCTTGGCTGTGCTCTCATTCTCCTTTGGTCATATAACTGTCAGTAGCATTGGAAAACAAGTTATCATAACAGTGCACACCACTGATTTTCACCTTAAAAATTAAGGCGAGCTTGAAATATTAGTTTGAGTTTTGCTGGTCAGTCAGGTATATTTTTATCATCAAGATTTTTCCAAGTCTGCTTCCTGATGATGTCTTCACTGAGACTTTGCTATTTAGGATTTTAAAGGTTGGAGCTCAGATGAGTGTCTTTGTGTCGGTAAAAAAAAACACACACACACACTTTAGGCTTACATGGTAATGATGTTGTGCAGGTTTTGTAGTGTAGCCTTCAAACAAATATTAATATCATATCAATATGGTGTACAAAAATGTTGTAGTTACTCAAGAATGAATGAGGAACAGATCAGGAAGGATCTGATAGTTTATGCATGGTTCATAAGCACTACCCCAATCTACGACTATGTAGTTTGGAATAAACAGGTACTAGGAAACTGACCTGGAGATACTATATTGTGGTTATTTTTTAAATATTTACTAACTTACCCTATCTTTCTTGATGAGCAGATTGCAGTTAACTTTGATCAAAACAATGGGCGGTGCAAAACAACTATTTATTACTGCAGTTGTAGTTTCTCTTTTGAGCTTTTCACTTCTTCAGGATTAGCCACCATTACCCACCGTTTGTGTCAGTTCAAGTAAAGTGAAGTATCGTCCGGAGTGTTTAGTACGTATCTAGTCGTATTCAAAATGATTTCCTTAACAGCAAGTCAGAGACTGCAGGAGTCTCAACGAGAATTTCAGAGCATATTGATATTCACATTCATATCATGTTCTGTAACATCAGAGATGCAGAAGCTTAAAAATACATGTAGCAAACAGTTTGCACTGGTTTAATTGGGATTTAAACTGTCACTTTGAACTATTCCTTACTTTTAAGTGAGGAATCTGTATTTTTTGAATACCAACACATATGTGTTCATAAGTCTATGGAAAACTGCCCTGCGCAAAACTTGGCGCTTAATCAATATTTTTTATGATTATGAACTGTGTATGTAAGGATACCTGATGCTGTAAACCACACAGCAATTCATACTAAAAATGTTTTAATTTTGAATGAAAGCAGTTTATTAGAACTGTAGGTTAAGTACGCTCCACTTAATCACCTGTACGCCGATAAATTGCTTAGACAACTCCTTTAATGTTTTAAAAAACCTGAACAAATATAGTACACAGCATTACCTACATTTGTATACATATGTTCAAAAGTAAGAATTCCAAAGAGTGTAATAGCAGAGTGAACATTGCAATAAAAGATCAACACGATCAAAAGACCCTATAGGAAAGGTTATAAAAAACAATGTGCATGGCTGCTTTTAAAACCTAAACTAGACAAATAAAAGGCTATCAGGTAATGCAGTAGTAGCAAGTGAAGTTTTCAAACTGAATTTTTAAAACAAGAATGCAAGAATTATGGGGAGAAATAAATACTGACACTGTCAACAACCCCTGTGTCATGGCTCAGTGTGTTCAGGACCCAAATGCAGACACCAGCGACAGGTTTTACAGGAAGAAAAAGCAAACATTAATCAAAAAGCTGATACAAAAAAAAAAAAAACTAGAGTCCAGATAAATCAAAAGCACAAAGAGCTGGAAAAAATTACCAAAAATGCAAAAAGGTAACAAAAGCATGTCATAAACTAAAACCAGAAATAAAGAAACATAAAAAGACTCAAAAAACTAAATGTACAAACCAGAGGCAGGTGAACGCAGGGAAGAACTCAGGCAGGTGGACAGGAAGTCTAACATGAGGGAACCAAAGTGACAGGGACATGACTAAACACTCACAAATCACTGCTAAAACTAATCAGGGGAATCAAAAAGGAGGCGAAAGAGGACCAAAGTAAAAACACAAGCGTCAAACAAAAAATTAAGTTTCAATATAAAACAGGTAGTAACTGAAAAGAGACATGACACCGACACAGAACCACAGACACAAACAAAGACACAGGAAACACAGAAAAGAATGAATCACAAACCAAACCAAACCCAGAAACCAAGTTCATGACACCCTGGCAAATATATCACCAGAGTCTGTGGCCACTGTTAAATCAGATCGGGATGAATCAAAAGGGGTGTGTGGTTGTGCAGCTGTGAGAACTGTGAAGATACAACAGCACCTGGACCTGGAGTGACAAGTTTCCTCTTGGATGGAATCTTGAACAGTCTTTCACTTCAGACACAAGTTAAAGCGGCACAGAGAAACTATACCGTAGTAGTTGCAAGAACAGGAAAGTGAACATGCTAGTTTGCCCAGCACTTTAGTGCAGTTTTTCCATTGTCTTCTCAATGTCGTCTGTCATGGCATCCTAAACATGCCTGACAAGGTCTGTCAGAGTCACAAAACACACAGACAAGAAAATAAAAAAAGCTGAGTACAACTACAAAACTTACTAGAAATGCCTTTTATGTATGATTTACATATGTTTAAAAGAAAAATGGCCACTACAGAGAGGCAGCTCTCCCTTTCTCTTTCTTCCTCCTGATACTCTGTCTCAGAGTATTTATTTTAGGATAAGCCTGTAAGATGAGCAGTCTAATAATAAAAAACAAATAAACAGCAATAATTTAAAAAAAAAAAAAAAAAAAATTATGAACACCATTAACAGCATAAAAAAACCTCCAGGAGTGTACTTGTCATTGCATTACTTCTCGGTAGTTCCTTTAGCGTTTTTGCATTTTCTTTTAGAAGTTTTCCATGCCTCTGGATCATCAGTGTATGTCTGCTGCCAAGAGTTGTCTTTTTGGTTGTTAGCTAAAGGAAGACGAACTTCCGGTGTTCCGTCATGGGATGCTTTTACAGATGCTTAACTAAATTGGTTGTATTGTACGATGCACTACTACACCTTCCACCCCTCAGAATGTTGGCTTTATACACATTACAAGCTGATGTCTTGCTTTTCTCTAATTCAAGTCTAAATTATCGCCAAATCAACAACACTTTTCATTAGCCAGCAATTACTTGATGATCATGATCCAGCTCAAGCTCCCCCTGTAAGTTTAACACGTGTTTATAATTCATTAAAACATCAGGCTTTGGAGTCTGGATCAGTACATGGATTTATGATGTCAGTCCAATGTCTGAGGAGTTAATTGTGTCTGAACCTGATAATGATATGAGCTTTGATCGATCCCTACTCTAATAATAAACATTATTGAATTAGTTGCCATGTTTTAGCCTCCGGTGTTTCATTATTATCTTCTGAAGTCTCATATTAGCTTCAAATATGGACATATTGCACATTTTCTTTCTGCAGAATAAACAGGGCAGTTTAAAAAATAAAAAAAATATAAAAAGAACACTTAGTGTGAATAATTGTGGTCAATATTTTTATTGTAGAATGCAGTTAGTTATAGTTCTAAAGATTTCAAGTATGACTAATAATTTGCTGGATGACAGTGTCAGTGGAGTTGTGTTAGTGTCTTCCAGATATATTTTTCAGTCATTTGTCTGAGGGAGATATGCTCCTATTTTACTTCATGGTGTTTTACATGCATGATGACACATCGTTCTTCACCCTCATTTTGGTTGGCAAACAATAAAACTGCCTGATTACTAACTCAGAAAATCACTGTATGTGTTCTTCGCTTTTCTAAACTTCATTCAGTCTACTTCAGACTTGGTGGGTGTATTGCTGGGGCCCTGTGGACGTGCAGTGTGACATTTGGTTAAGTCATTTTGATAATTGGCTCTTGAGAGATATGAACAGAGAAAATTTTAATTGCATTGCACGGCTACTGTAGGGCTGTGGTCACTCAGTGACATAGTAACATCATTGATTACAAGAACGATGAGCAGCACAGCAAACATGGCTGCGCCTGGTTAGAACAAGAAACTCCCTGGAGAACAAGCTGCGGTTTAAGAAGCCCCACCCATAATCAAATCAAATCAAGTTTATTGTAATTTTGCTGAACATACACAGTAGTACAGGCAAGATGAAAGAGCGTCTCTATAGGTTCCAGTAACTTAAAACAATTTAAATTAAGAAGAATTTGCATATCTGGATCAGCAGTTCAGCATTCTGACAGCTTGTGGAATGAAGCTGTTGATCTTTCTGGAGATTCTTCCTTTAATGCTCTGGAA